AAGTATTGGTGTTAGGTCTTCCCTGAAGTTGGACCTGGGCTTTTCTTAGTTGATAGGCTTTAAAAAAAAATTACTGTTTCAATCTCATTGTCTGTAATTGTTCAGTTTTAAAATCTCCGTGGTTCAGTTTTAGTAATTCATATGTATCTAGGAATCGGTCTAAATTCTCCAATTTATTGGCTTACAAATGTGTGAAGTAATTGTTAATAATCTTGATTTTGGTGGTTTCCATTGTTACCCCCCCACACACACACTTTTTAAGACAGGGTCTCATGTGGTGGTTCAGGCTGATCTTGAATTCACTATGTAGCCCAGTGTGGCCTTGAATCCACAGTGATCCTCCTGCCTCAGCCTCCAGAGTGCTGTAATTACAGATGTGCGTCATCATAACTGGCTTGCTTTTTTCATTTCTAATTGTATTGATTTGGTCTCTCTTTTCCTTTTAGTTATATTAGCCTATAAAGGTTTGTCTATTTCCTGTATTCTTTCAAAGAACCATTTCTTTGATTCACTGTTTTTTCTTTTTGGTCTCAATTTCATTGATTTCTTCTGTGATCTTTATCATTTATTCAGGCTGCCTCTGTTTTTGTGATCTGGATATTCACAGGTATAAACTTCCCTCTCAAGACTGCTTTCACTTTTGATATGTTGTCTTATTTGTTCCTTGATTTCCTAATTCATTATTTAAAAGTGCATTATTTAGTTTCCATACATTTGCATAGTTTTCTTTTGCCATTGATTTCTAGTTCCATTGCACTCTGATAAATATACATAATTTCAACTCTTTTGCATTTACTTAACCTTCCTTTATTGGCTAGTATGTGGTCTATTTTGGAAAAATTTCCATTGGCTGCTGAGAACGTGTATTCTGTTATTGTTGGGTAGGCACACTGTAGATTATCTGTTAAGTCCATCGGTTTAAATGTTTTGTTCAACTCTCTGGTATTTCTTTGTTGACTTTTGTCTAGTTGATCTATTTGTGACAGTGGGGTATTGAGGTCCCCCGCTACAACTACATTTATTTGATCTTTTATATCCAGTAATATTTGTTCCATGAAGTTGGGCGTCACAGTTGTTATCTCTTCCTGTTGGACTATTCACTTAACTAATATGTAGTGACCCTCTGTGACTCTTTATAGGATCCCATTGCATGAAGTATTGTTTTCCATCCTTTGATTTATATTCCATGAGCTTATTTTTAGGTTAAATGTGTTTCTCGTATATAGCATTCCATTGAATTTTATTTCTTGATCCATTCTGCCAATTTGTACCTTTTTACTGGGGAATTGAGACCACTCACACTAAGAATTACCACTGATAGGTAATGACTTATTCCTGTCACTGCCTTATTTTTCTGTAGTTTAGTCTTTTTATTCTTTTCTACTTAACTCCTCACCCTACCTGTTGTATTCATTCTCTTAGATCTTTTGTCACTGTTAGCTTCATTTTCTCTTCTTGGGAAATTTTTGGAGTGCTGGTTTGGTGGTCATGAATTTCTTTAGGTGCTCTTTATCAAGGAAATATCTTATCTCTCCATCACTTTGGACAGTTTTGTACCATTTAATTCATTTGTTAATTATATAATCTATTATTTCGTAGTAAGACAAAGGTACACAAGATTTATGATGGCACAGAGCGATTTTAGGCTTACTTCCTGCTGTCTGCTTGTCTCAGCAGGATTCACTGGCCACAGGTTGTTTATCTCTGACTCATATTTTGTATCCTTTAGTTTCTACTGTGAGCAGATAACAGGTATTTGCTATACAGAACCCAAACAAAAGATGAGGCCATATGATCTGCATTATTATTTTTGCCTCTTCCTGTATCTCCTTCCATTTAGTCACCAAATCTATTCACCTTTGAATGGTCACAGAAGGCCACTCAGTATACTTGGACAATACTTCCTCAAGCAGCGTCCCTTCCTGCCTCTCAGGAACTGTCACTTCCTCAATAAATTTCCTATTAAAAAAAAAAAAAAGAACAGTTTCTCAGGGTTTGGGATCATCTACTTGGAATGCGTTAGCCAAAGAATTAAGAGCTGGTGCTAAGAGAGGAGACTCTGCTGAGGTATATGGACAATTTATTAATCGCTAGATGCACTCCCCGGAGTTGGACGGCAATACCATTACTGTCCTCAATTTCCTGGAAGAACATGGTTACAAGGTCTCACCCACTAAGGCCCAGATTTTCTAGGGTTTCATTTTAAATCCAGGGACCTGAGCTTTGTCAACAAATCAAAAACAAGCAGTCACCTCGTTATCCTCTCCCCAGACAAGGAAGCAACTCTGAGGCTTCTCAGGCATGGCTGGCTGGTATCGAATATGGATACCAATTCAGGGGCACTGGTCAGGACTCTATGAAGAGCTAAAAGGAGGCCACTTTGCTGGGATAAAAAACATCAACAGGCGTTCGAGGCCCTTAAAAATAAACAGAGCCAAGCCCTTTCATGGGAACTCCCAAATCTAGAAAGCCCTTTATTTATACTTACATGAGAGGTGGGATTGCTATGGGTGTCCTAACCCAAAAATTCAGACCCACTCCCTGGCCACCTGCTTGTTTCTCCAAACAGCTTGATGCTGTTGCTCAGGGATCTGCTTAAGAGTAGAGGTGCAACAGCTCTTCTCGTTAAAGATGCCTCCAAGCTATCTCTGGACAGCCTTGGAGGTTCAGGTTCCTCAGGTGCCAGCAGTTCTAGAGATAAAAAGGCCCCACTGGCTGGTGGGTGAAGATTAATGCTGTATCAGGATCAACTATCAGACAGTCCTGACCTAAAACCCAAGGCCACCAGGCCTTCAATCCGGCCACCCTTCCACCAACAACAGAAGAGGCTGAGTGGCAGTCACTGAACTCTTCTTAGAGGCTTGATCTCCATGCAACATGCGGATGCCAAGCACTTTACAGATTGGATGTTTTTTGGAGGGGGCATTCAGGAGAGCAAGTTATGCTACAGAGAGCACAGTGGCCACCACAGAGGCCAAAGCCCTCTCAGCACAAACCTCGACCCAAAAAGCAGAGCTTAGTCAGAGCCCTACACTGGGAAAGGTAAGACTATTTATATGGACTCTAAATACAAGGTTTTGGTATTGCACATCTATGCAGCTTTTTGGAAAGAGTAGAGATATTAACAGCAAAGAAAAAATAAAGTGTCCCCTATAAAAAATCCTAAGGAGTTGTTAGTACTTCTGGAAGTCACCTCAGGGGGTAGCAGTTAATTCACAGTGGGGGCCCTCAAAAGGGTAATTCATCAGAGTAATGGTCTAGGAGACAGAGTGGCCAAAGGGCAGCCCAAACACGAGCCAGGAAGCTTATTGGCCACGGTACAGAGCAGCCCCAAATTCTCTGTTCAAGAGTAAAGAGGCTCAGACTAAGGGGTACATCAAGACCTGCCCAGGGTGACGGAGAGATGAAGGGGAACAAATTCTCCTCCCTAGGCCAATGGCAAGAGTGACCCATCCAGAGCAGGCCTCTTTATGGCACTTACTTCTCCATAATTCCCTCACAGGGAGAGGGCTCAGGGGTAAGTGGGTAACTGGAACCCTCAGTCCCACCCTGCCCCTCCTACTCTGACCACCCTCTATAGTCCCTTCCACTGCATCATCAGAGATTAACCAGGAAGGGTTGCCCACCAGGGATGAGCAGCCCTATGACAGCCTGCACAGAATCCAGAACGGGGGACTCCTGGCCAACACAACCCTGGGGCAGGGTGGACCATGGACCTATGGCAGCATGGGGACCCACCACTATGTGTGCTATACATGTTCCACTAGTGCTGTGGACACTGTGGGGCAGACGAGGCCATGTCCTGTCACCTGCTCTGTGCTGTCATGTGACTCCATGCTGCCACGAGACCAGGGCTATTGCAGAGGCACCTGGGAAATGAGTCTGGAACCAGGGTCATGGGTTCCAGAAAATCTAGTCCCACTGTGCAAGGGAAGGTTGGGGACACTGCCAATGTGGGTGGCCCTGGGTTACCATCAGCAAGTGGAGGTTCTCTGCTCCCCAGCGTCTTAAGGGGAAATTCAGACTCAGATACTGACTTATGGTGACGGCAGAGATGGACAGGAAGGTTTCTCGTGCTGGATGGGCTGCCAGGGCTGCTGAGGTCAGGACACAGGCTCTGATGAGGCGAGCCCCTGGGCTTCGGCTTTCTTTGCCATGTTGTTTCTGGTGTGTAGCCTGACCTTTATTCAGGACTCACAATGTAGCCCAGAGGCTGAGAATTGGAGCCAGGCCCCACTTCTGCTTGAGTAATCACAGAAAGTGTGTTCTTGCCCTAACAAGCAATTCCAGACAACACTGTTTTTCATTCACTGTTCAGAGCTTTCTCTCCTGGATTAAATGAGAACCTGAGGAGTCGGGCGTGGTGGTGCACACCTGTAATCCCAGCACTCAGGAGGCTGAGGCAGGAGGATCACTGTGAGTTGAGACCAGCCTGAGCTACATAGTGAGTTCCAGGTTAGTCTTAACTACATAGTGAGACCCTGTCTCAAAAAAATTAAATAAATAAATAAATAAATGAGAACCTGACAACTCTTGGGGCTGGGCCAACTGATGCCCCTAACCCCAGCCAGCCCGAGCAGCTGCTGTCAGCTTAAGGCCCTTACCTAGCTGCTCAGGGTTGAATGAAATCATATGGGGAGCTGGGCTGGTGCTTCAGGTAATAATGGTTCCCGAAGAAGGGCACTCACCATTTATCTGTTTACTAAAGAAAATATACAATATATCAACATATACATACCAAGGCTTTTCTCAAAATTGTCACTTAGATTTTTTTTATTCATTAAAATTTTTTTTTCATGAAAAATAACTTCCTGCTTACAAATTTCCCAGAAAGCATGGCCTCTCTGTTCTGGCTTCTCTGTCTAAACACATCACCAAGGACACAGAATTACCTCTGTCATGTGAGGATAAAAAACTTACAAGGCAGAAGTGAATTCTCTGGAAACCAGGTCTCAGGGGACTTGGCTCAATCTTACGGAGTCACCGGTTTAGGGCAGAGTGGTCTCAGGGGGCTGGGGGCAGCCGAGACATCCGCCCAACCAGCCCTGTGCCCGTGGAGGACAGGCTGGCGTGCCCGGCAGGCACATGGTTTGCTCGGCACTCACTGCGGGCCAGCAGCGGCAGGGCCCAAGGAGGAGAGTGCTGCGACCGACTGTACACCGGGGCCACACCAGAGGCCGGGGACACCGTCCCTAGGGTGGTCAGGCACTGCCCCGGCCCCTCCCGTGGAGATGGACCCGCACCACTGCGCTGTACACCCAGGAACCAGAGTGGAAACACAGTTTCCCTCCTATCTGGGGAGATGGCAGCAGGATGGCGCGTGCCAGCTCTGGAGGCCACACACGTGCAGCTCCACCACAGGGCCAAACCCTCTGTCCTGCGAGCACAGAATGCTGTACAGGCCCCTAAAAAACCGGAAGTTACAGTGGAAAATGTCACGCAGCTCGAGAAGAGGAGAAAGGCTCCACACTTGCAGTGGGTGCAGCTGGCAGGCCGCCCGGGGGAGCAGACAGCGGGCATCCACGCACCCCCTGCCCAAGTGCCAGGCCGTCCCCCAGCACCCAGAGAGCGGCTCCTCCTGTCCCCAGGACGTCACTGTGCTGCAAAGCTCAAAGTGCAGGTACAACTGCTCTGCTGGGAACTCGGGAGCCAGCACAGATGTTTTCTGTGGTCCTAAAGCCAGCACTCAGAATGCGCTGCACCCACAGAAAGGTCTGGGCGGTGGCGCTGGCAGGAAAAGGAGGCCGGATCGATCATGAGTGCGCGGCACGGTCCCTGTCCCCGGCTACGTGCGGCACAGCTTCAGCGGGAAGTTCTCGGTGATGAGGTGATCGGCCTGGAGCAGCACAACGATGTTCACCTCGAACTCTGCGGGGAGCGGAGACAGAGCTTAAGCGCACTCCAGCAGCGGGCACCAAACGCCCACTCCCAGGTTCTCGGCTGAACCCTCAAGTTACAACCTGCCTGACATGTGAGCAACTCTTGACTTACGACTGGAATTTTAGTTTTAACAAAGTCTTGAGTTACAACCCGAATGCTGGCTGCTTGTGCTTCCAGGTGGTCTCAGAACAGATCTAACCCTCAGAGCTCTGGAAGGAGCAGGACCGCATCCTCTCCTGTGTGGGCTCACTGAGAACCTGGGCCAGCGTCTCCCTGAGGACACTGAGACCTGCTGTGTGCAGGAGGGAGACTCTGAAGGCTGTTTAGAGGCTTGAGCGTTCACTGACCAACTTGAGTTAGTTACAACCGGCCCTCGGGAACGAATTGAATTCGTAAGTCAGGGGTCCACTGCATTTTCTCCTCTAAGCTGTTTCTCTCAGGTGCTTGGTCACAGCAATGAGAAGCTGACTGACAGAACCACTGTGCTGACGTGTAGGTGCCTGTGGCAAAATCAGGAGAGGAAGTGGCGTGTGGGTCACGACCGGGCCGGGCTCAGTCTTTCCAGAGATCCATGGCAGAGGCACAGACGCCAGGATGGAGGCTGTCAGAGCTTTCCCAGCGGTTACCACTCGCTCCAGCTCTTCAAAGATGCCCTGGGACCTGGGCCCCATCCACGCCACCCTCCACCTGCCTGACCTTGCCCGGGCGGCCAGGGCTCAGGGACACGGTGGCTGCGTGACAGTGCAAGGTCCGCAGAAGCAGAAACACGCACACAGCGCTGCCCGAGAGCCAGCTGGCCCCGAGACCAGGTGCCCCCCGAACCTGTGCCACTTACCCACTTTGAAGTTGGTGGTCTCCAGCGTGGGGCAGGTGAACAGCCTGGGGAAGACCATGTGTATGGGGACCGAGAGGCCCCGGCAGACGTCGCCATCGGCGATCTGAATGTTCTGAATCTCTGTGGCATCGCGGGCGTAGCCTTCTGCGCACCCTGGGGTGGGGAGGAAACGTCTCCGGCTCAGGACCAGCAGGAGCAACGTGCCCTTCCGGCTCTGTGCTACACACTTGCCTCCTCCAGTCCACCCCACGGTTCCAGACAGAGGCCAGTCTTCCCTGCTCACTGTGCTCCAACGAACTGCACCAGGTTTTAGTCCTGTGTGGGAAACTCAGTCCCCAAATGAACATGACTGGGATTTGGAGGTGGAGGCTTTAGGTGATGGTGGACGTGGCTGAATGAAATCTCAAAGGGAGTGGCCATGCTCTAAAAGTGAGTCCTCACCAGGCATGGTGGCGCATGCCTGTAATCCCAGCACTTGGGAGGTGAAGGCAGGAAGATTTCTGGACAGGAGCCTGTGCTACATAGTGAGAAAACTCTGCCTCAGAAAAGTCAATCAATCAATCAATCAACCAAAGTGAGCTTTCTGTGACATGCTGTGCTGTCTCCCTGGGTGGTACGCCCTGCCCCAAGATGGCACAGGAAGGCAGGAAGGCCCTTGCCAGATGCACTCTTGGTCGTGCAGCCTTCAGAACCATGAACCAAACAGGCCTCTATTCTCTATACATTTCCCAGTCTCGGGTAATTTGTTATAGCAACAGAAAACAAACCCAAGAAGCACTTTTATTGCAACAGAGAGACATGGCCTTACTTTGCATTCACTCACATCTCCCCGCCCTCCGGTGCTGGGAATTGAACCCATGGCCTCTGAACAGTATCTGCAGCCTTATTTATTTATTTATTATTGAGGCAGGTTCTTGCTAAATTTCTCAGACTGGACTCAAACTTGCAATCCTCCTGCCTCAGCTTCCTAGGTGCTGGGATTGCAGGTGTGCACCACCACACTCAGCTCTCCCACATGGTTTTAACCACTGAGCGCACAGGGTAGAAGGCAGAGGGCGGGACTCACCGCAGGTCTCCACGCGGACCAGCTGCAGCTCGATGCTCCGGATGGCGGCATCCGAATGCTCCACCACCAGCTCGCCTGTCAGCGGCTGTGTGATCATGCAGTTGGTGGAGTTGAGGTGGCCTCTAATGAGGAATTTGGGCAGCAGCGCTCTCTAAAACAAGTCAGGAGCAGGAGGAAAGGGGTGAGATGACTCCACAACACTTTGCTGCAGATACTAAAAACTGAAAATAAGCCAGGGACCCCGATCTACGGAGAGGCAAAGGTGGGACGACGACTGCATCTTCTTCCAGCTCGGAGGCTGAGAGGCTGAATCGTTAAGCTCTAAACACATGAGATGTGACAGAAAAGCACAGTGCATGTTTTAATTTTTAAAATTTTATTATAGTAAAATACACGCTGCCATGAGTCGCCTCAAAATGTGCCCCCTCACATCAAGCACACTTGTCTCACCACCCCTGCCGCCTCCTGCAGCAGCTCTGCAGTCCTCTCACGAGTGCCTGTTTTTCTCTTTTCCCATTAAGTTCATTGGTACATTTACGGCAAACAGCAGTTACACTCACCATTGGGATCGTGCACCTCTACAGGACAGATCTCGGTTCTCATTTCTTCCCCATTCCCCTGCCCTCCCTTCACCCTTCTCTATTTACAAGGACTTTGTTTCCATTTTTTTCCTTTTCTCACATTTTTTCTTTTCCCTTATTTCCTTTCCCCTCCCCTTCCCACTTCCCCACTAGCCATTTTCTTCCTATTTCACCTGTCAGTTATACCGTTTTGAACCTTATTTCATGAGTGTCTTTAGTTGTGCTGTTGTGGCTGCCTCCGTGACCTGAATGGACTCAAAATGTTCACGTTTCACTGTCATTTTGATTTGGGGAAAAACAAGAAGCTGCACAGTGCCAGACCCAGCGACGAAGGTGGACAATGACACAGCACCATGTTTTGGGGAGCTACCTCTCTGTTGGATGGCACTCAGCAGCACCTTTTATTTTTTTATTTTTTTTGTTTTGTTTTTTGAGACAGGGTCTCACTATGTAGTTGAGACTGACCTGGAACTCACTCTGTAGCCCAGGCTGGTCTCGAACTCACAGTGATCCTCCTGCCTCAGCCTCCCAAGTGCTGGGATTACAGGCGTGAGCTACCATGCCCAGCCTACCATGCTTTTTAAATCAAACCATGTGAAGACACTCAGGAAAGGGGGCTCCAGGGCTGCTGCAGAAAATGGCAAGAATGATGGGGTGGGTGTGGCTGAAACTAGGGGAGTGTTCTGAAGGGGATGCGTGGCAATCTGGCTTTTATGATTACACGTAGTTTAAAATGTAACTATTCCCCACATATTTTGATCACAGCTGTACTAAGGCTCCTAACGACACAGCTTGTACAGAAGGACCAACTTGCTCAGAAAGTCATCTGCATGCCCCAGACTTGGATCTAGATGGCTCCTCACACCAGGCAGTAAGATATAAAGTCTCAGGGAGTTGGCAAGGGCATTATTCAAGGACAACTGATCACAGGGGAAAAAAGGGGGAGAAGGTTTAGAAAAGGTAATAAAAAATATTTCCAATTGTGCCATTTTGAAAAGCCAAGGTATCTTATTTCAAGGAAACATCAAACAGCAGTTTTCCCAAGGCCTGAGGAAAAGCCTTTGAACCTTTTGTCGTGGCCGCACCTCCATCAGAGTGGAGCACGCAGCATCCAGCAGAAACCACACCGCCACAGGTGTCACTGACAACATGCAGTTAGCCACCCAGGAAAGTAAAACTTCCTATATTTTCTGAAGAAGAGGGTAAAGTTAACCAGCATATCCAAAATGTTAGCTGTTCCACACACTCTCAATCTAAAGCGACGATCGGTGTTTTCTGGTGTTCCTATGGAGTCTCTGAAACTGGCCAGCATGTCCGACTCTCTCCTAACCTGGACAGCCTCTCCTTGAGTCCAGGTTGTCCGGCGCAGCTGCTGAACTAAGAACAAGGGAGCTCTGCAAAGACAGTGGCTAAAAATGGCTCAGATGATGACAGGGTTAAGAATGCAAGCCAACGGGGCTGCGGGGGAGAGGAGTGAACAGCAACAGCAGTTCATATCAATATTCTTTTAGGGGCCAGGGATTTAGCTCAGTGGTTCCACCACCTGCCTTGCAAGCACAAGGACCTGAGTTCGATCCCTGGTACCAAAAAAAAAAAAAAAAAAAAGATTATTTTAGGAAGCTGAAAAAGGAAAAGCATCCATGTCCAGCTCAAAATGCAGACCAAACACGCACATCCCCCTTCCCAGCGGCGGGCAGCAACACAGACAGAATCAACCTCCGCTGGCTCTCAGTCCATTTCCAGCCTTCCTGTGGCTTCTCCGAGCTCCTTATCCTCCTGTAAATCCTTTTCTACTTAAAAAACAAGAAAAAACTGGCATTTTGTGAATACCCAAATGGATTTATATGTTATGGCCTCATTTCCCAACAATGGATGAGAATGCTTGTCTTTTTCACTCACACAAAAAGCTCTCCAGCCAGAAAAGCTGTGAGGGACGCCCCCAGGACCACCCAGCGCAGCACTTCCGTCAGAGAAAAAGCAGGCAGGCCCGGTGCAGTGGCGACTTCAGCCACACAGCCCTTGACTTCCAGCCCAGCCAGGGCAACTCAGTGAGACCTGTCTAAAGAAAAGCTTGGTACAAAGGCCCTAGGTTCAATCCTCAGGACTGGAAAAACAACAACAAAAGCCAGTGGATGGGATGCCAGGGATGTCAGTGCATATCTGTAATTCCAGCACTCAGGAGGACGAGGCAGGAGGATTTGGAGCAGGCCTGGGCTACACATTCTAGGAGAGAGATCTTATCTCAAAAAGCCAAACAAAGAAATAAACGTGGATGCAGGAGTAGCTCAGTGGCAGAGCTCTTGCTAGTATGTGTGAGGTCCTGGCTTCTATCCCCAACAGCACAAAAAAGGGGGAAAAAGGGATTGCCAATGAAGCTGCGAGAGTTCAGGGGCCTGCAGCCAACCGGAGGTCAGTGCAACAAGCGTGCTCCTGGGCAGACACTGGTGCTTCCTGACCAGGTGAATCCAAAAGCAGCCCTAGGAACTCAGAGCCCGGGGCCCAGGGTCACAGCAAACCCAGGGGACAGGCGCTCCCGGGACCCTCGGGCAGAGCCAGTGCGGCTTCTGCCCGGCAAGCAGCCTTGCGTCCCACAGCAGATCCTCCTGACAACAGGAGCCAATAAACACTCAGAGGAAATGCAAGAAAGTAACGAAGAACCTGCTCAACACAGCAGCACAGCCTGGGACCAAAATGGATGTGTGACAGGAGGTTCCCTAGCAGGGAGCGGGCAGGCAGACCATGCTGTGGCCCAGGCGGACACCAGGGCAGGGTCCACTGAAGAGATGGGGAAAGCTGGGTGTGGGGGCGCAGTCCCGTGACTCCAGCACTCAGCAGGAGGCTGAGGCAGGAGGACTGCTGGAAGAAGACAGCCTAGCAACATAATGATACCCTGACTCAAAAAACAACAAGAAAGAGAGAATAGAAGGAAAAAAAATGGACACGGGTTTTTTAAATGAGGGGAAGAGTGGCTGAAGGGAGGGGAAATGGGAAAAAAAGAAGCAAAATATATCACATACAAGTACAAATTTCCTGTGGTGAATGTAATCATGTAAATCTAAATGTACCAATTAAAAAAAGAGATGGAGAAGAGAGGGCTGACTGGTCCTGGGTCAGGGGCTCTCAGAAGCCAGAGGGGGCCATGGAGAGTGCACAGGGGAGTGGACCTCACCCTCAGAGGGGCCCCACAGCCCTTGCCTCAACTGTATCACCAAGGGATGAGGTCCACAATCTCTCCCGCGTCCCAGTTCTAATCAGTCTGGTCCAGGGACAAAGTGCAGAGCTGGGGGAGAAGTCTCCATCCTGAGAGCTTCACGTGGTAGCCGTCTGCTCTGAGTCCCCATCTAGAGTGGTGCGGAGGCACGCAGGGTAGGCTCCAGCCAGCTTCTCTGTGCATAGCACAGGCAGCCTCTGGAGGTCACTGCCGGCTCTTCCAGGAAGCACTGGGTGGAAGGGAATGTGCCAACCACACAGCAGCAGAGGACAGCAGGAGGCAGGTGGCCCGGTGCAGACTGTGGCCCCTGAGGCAGCAGTGCTGGAGCTCAGGCCCACAGCACAGGGAAACTCAGAGCACAGAAAATCACTAATGAGCTGGGAGCGGGGGCACATGACTCAGGAAGCTGAGGCAGGAGACCGCTTTTGCCCAGGCACTGGAGGCCAGCCAGGGCAAACTAGCAAGACCCTGGCTCAAAAAACACACAAAATCATAAACACACAGGAAAAATTTCTAAATAATTACTGGGTTCCACACAAAATCAAGGTGAGGATACTGATTAGCACAGATACAGGCAATAAAATCAAAACCTCCTTCTGCTGAGTCGATTCCCAAATAAAGAACAAGAGGGCAAGGGCTGGCCCTGAGGCCCAGTCACCGGGAAGTCCCATGGCCTGAGTGTGCAGGGCATGCGGTTACCTCCTTCACATTCTGTAAGGTCTCCGGCGTGATCGTGAAATCCACAGGACTCGGGGTCAGCTTCCCCTTCTGTGGCTGGAATGGGAGGTAAGACAATCAACAGAGGGGAGGCGGGACAGCTTCTCCTCCTGCAGCACAAGGAGCTGGGGTGCTGGGTATCGGGGCAGGAGGCCTGGGTCCCAACACAAACACAGCTCAGCCAGAAGACAAAGCTGTGCTCTGCAACACCTCTCTCCACCCCACCCCCCGGGACTCAGTTTCTCTATCTGCAAGGGTCATTATGGGCTTGGAATTTAAATATCAGAGGCATCTGCTATAAGACTGTCTCCTAGAGTAAGAGCTAACACTGCAGCGTGCCCTGTGGGCTGCATGACACAAGCAGGCAAGGGCCTGGGGCATCGGCCTTCATACTCAAGGGCAGGGTACACCCGAGCCAAGTGATTAGCCCAGCACGCCGGGCCCGGGGACGCTGCCAGGCAGGTGCTCCTGCTGCCACTGTCCCAACCAGGCACCCATTCTTCCAGCAGCACCCAAGAGGGATGCAGCCACCTTACTTGCTGGACAACGGGGCCATCTCACACCCCAAGGAGATGTGGGAGCCGGGAGAGGCTTACGGCAGAGTGTACGATGAACTCGCAGGTCTTCGTCAAGTCTTTGGCCAACAGTGAACGCCTCATGTCACAGCGCAGCGTGTACTAGAGGGAAAGTGAAGAAAGTGCCATGTTAGTGGGCTCTGCACGGAAAAGACATTCAAAGGAGCAAGTTGGCCTCCATAGTTTAGGGCAACTGTGTTCGATAATGTGCGATGTGAAATTAACACATATAACAGGAGAGTTAATGTTGCGAACAGAGGTGCTTCTGCTAAAACAAAGAGTAGCACCAGAAACAACACATCAGGCTCATTCCTAGCCTGTCCTCACAGGCATGCTGAGGTTAGGTCACAGAGGACCCTGACACCAGGTCTGGCTACAGCATGGGAAAGACCAGGCTGGAAGGAGAGAGTGCAGGCAGGAACAGCTGGTTCAGCCACAAATCTGCTTCCTTTGTGAGCCCAGCCAAATGACATAACTTCCCTGAGTTCCTGCCTGTAAGCAGGGCCACCACTACGAAGCTGCGAGAATCCAATGTATTATGTGTGGGAGGCACTGAGCACAGGGTTGTCAGGGACCCCCACAGCCAGTGCCTATCCTCACTCCCCTACCAAGCATGAGGGCCCAGGGCCAGGTTCACAGTCATACCCTGTCCTCCAGAGCATCAAACTTAACAAAGCGAAGTCACAGAGACAGGTGGCTCAGGCCTGTAATTACATCACCATGGGAGGCTGAGGCAAAAAGATCCCAAGTTCAAGTTGCCAAAGCAATTTAGTAAGACCCTGTCTCAAAATACAAAAAGGGGGACTTCTGGGAAGATGGCAGAGTGGTGATCAGCAGAGAAACAGGCTGTCCAAGATTTGATGTCCAGATGATGGAATACAGCAAAGTGAGGAAGAGAAGGAAGGAAGCAAGGATCTGAAATGATTGTTGAAGCCCACAGGGAGAGCAATGAGAGATCTGAACAAAGGAGGCAACAAATGGCACTTTCTGCCTAAGCCCTGACTTACTGCATGGGAAGGATGACTCACACCTTAGATGCACAGGGACTACTGGTGACCCCAGAGGGCTCTGCAGAGAAATGTATCAGTGGAATGGCACAGTGGACGCAGTGGACTACAGTGGCTGTTGAGTTACTTAGGTTCTGATGCTCCCAGGCGAGGGCGATTGGCTGGTAGCCATCTTGGAGAGGGACCAACAGAGCTCAGAACTCAGAGCAGCTGCTGGGTGGCTCCATTGGGGTGAGGCGGAATCAACTTCAAGTAAGCAGGAAGCACATGGGGTGTTGCAGACTAAACAAAATTGTTTCCAATTTCACAGGCAGAAACTAGCCTGCACTTCAGAACCAAAGGTGCAGGCATGCTGGAATTATGTACTACCCCACTGAAAATCCAGCAGGCTTGCTGGGATTAATCGACGTGGATGTGGGCTCTTTGTGCCCACTGTGTCTACCAGTGATAGCAGACAAGTCCTGAAGTAGACGTTTTTCTCTCTTCTTTTTGTTTTATTTTGTTTTCTTGATTATTCTTGTTTCTATATAAATGAGAATATTGTGTCTAGTTTTCCTGTTTTTGTTGTTCTTGTTTTTATTTTTGTTTCTTTCTTCTCTCTTTCCCTTCTGTCTTCTTCACTAGTTTCTGATTATGGCTGCATAATCTTCCCTTGTTCTTCAGCCTTGCTTCTAATTTCTTCCTCTTCTTCTATTTCTCTATTTTCCCCCCACCTCTTTTAAATATTCTACCCTATGGGTAAAATTGCCACAGTGAGGGCATATTTACTGTATATAATTTTCTGGTTTTCTTTAGGTTTTGTTATATAACCACAAATCTAGTTCATATGGTTAAAGGTGGCAAATTAATAGTTCACTTTCTCTAGGCTGTATGTGATGCTACCATTGTTGCTGATTGCACTACTTTAGTCAAGGTGACATAGTTGTTCTAATTGGTTGTTCTTTCGGGTACACCAAGACTGAGATTGATTAAGGGTTATAAACAATACTATAGACCAGTGCCAAAGAACCAGGGGCTAGGCCAAAATGGCAGCAACTTCTCATCCTCAATAAAAGGAAGAGACAGGATCCTTCAACAGACTCAAAACCCAAAAGCCAGCTGCACCACGTAGACATCACTGAGAATTAATCATTTCCCAAGGGTTCTAAACACTAGCAATAAAGCTATTTGCCATAGAGATTTAAAAGAATCAACCCAGGAATTAAATTTTAAAATACAGAAAATGAGATAACACTTAAGGAAGATGCAATTCCTAAACATCTAGCTCACCAAAGGCAAAACCAGGGAGCAATGAAAACAATAAAAACCCACCCACCTAGATGGACTCTTTTAAGTGCTAAAATTGGAAGCAACAAATTAGACACAAGAAAAAAAAATAGTTTCTTAGATAACTACAAAGACAGTGACCATAATGAAAGACTCTAGTAACTCTAGAGCATATACAGATTTTTTAAAAAAATTACAGGAGCTTAGGAAAATGATGGAAACCATGACCACCCAACACAGGAAAGAAATGGAACCCACAAAACAGATTCAAACAGATATGTAGAAGATTAAAAATTCCATTGAAAGTATACATAGCAGAATGAGAATGTGAGGACAGAATATCAGATACCGAAGAGAGGACTGTGGTTAGTGACCATGAAAATAAATATGTCTTAAAAATAGCAAGGGACCATGAAAAATCGATCAAAAATCTGCTAGATGATGTAAAGAATAACAACAGGATTAATCAGAGTCAATGAAAAGCTGGGCAAGTGACACACAAAATAAACATGTTCAAAGACGTCGTGGAAGAAAACTTCCCAAACAGGGAAAAAGAATCCGATATACAAATAAGTCAGTTATATGAAACTCCACTTAGCTATGACTAAAAAAAAAAAAAAAGGTACACCAAGGAATACAATGATCAAGATTCAAGAAATCCAACACAAGAACAGAATATTAAGCCGGGCGTGGTGGCGCATGCCTGTAATCCCAGCACTCAGGAGGCTGAGGCAGGAGGATCGCAGTGAGTTCAAGACCAGCCTGGGCTACATAGAGAGTTCCAGTTCAGTCTCAACTACATGGTGAGACCCTGTCTCAAAAAAAAGAACAGAATATTAAAACCTGTTAGAGAGAAACAAATCACCTATAAAGGAAAGCCCATCAGAATCATAGCAGAATCTCAACACAAACCCTCAAGTCAAGGACAGCTTGGAGTGAAGTATTTCAAGCCACAAAGGAAAACCTCCAACAAACTGATGTACCCCACAAAACGATCTTTCAAAACTATTAAAGAAATAAGGTACTTCCATAAGAACACCTGAAGAAATTCATGCCCACCAAACCAGCACTTCAAAATGTTCTGAAGGACATTCTTTAAAGAGATAATGAAGACTACAATTCCATGAACCCAACAGAATGAATCTACCAGACAAATAAATTAAATAGAGGAGGAAGAAAGGGAACCAACAACAGGAAAATAACATGACAAGGATAAGTCAACACGTATCAGTTATAAAAATCGATGTTAATGGTCTCTGAGCTAAATTCCCAATTTTATTTTAAACAAATTAATTTCCTGTAACCAGTGATAATAAACAAGAGACTAACAAATATGACCAGTAAAACCCTGATTTTATTCCTCTCAGTTTCTTATGAACATATCTTCCTATTATGAAATAAATGGTATGGATTAACTACTGTGTGCTGATTCTAGACAGGTGATAAGAGAAAGCTTTTTTTTTCTTTTTTCTTTTTTTGTTGGTACTGGGGATCGAACTCTGGTCCTTGTGCTTGTGAAGCAGGCGGAGGCACCACTGAGCTAAATACCGGGCCCCTAGAGTAACTTTCTAAATGAAGCACTGGAGATGGTTTCAGGCTATTTGTTCCCATTCACTTTCCTTCGTGGTGGAACAGTCCCAAGCCAGTGAGCTGGTCAGAGGCAGTCTGCCGGGTGACTGGAATGTTCTGTCTGCACAAGTGGCTTCAGTTAGAGCTACACACTGTCCCCATCACTCCCAGGGCTGTTCTCAGGGGCTGTCCAAAGCCTCTTGGGTGTGTGTGTGTGTGTGTGTGTGTGTGTGTGTGTGTGTGTGTCTGTCCAGCCGGAAACAGGTGCACTAACAAAAAGGCCTGGATGCATGGTTTTCTTCGCAGAAACAGAGCACATCATCGGACATTTGAGCAATGTCTTAGGCAATTCAGGAAACTCACATGCAGACAGATCTTTGGTTAAATCTCCCAGTGATTTGAGGATTTTTATTTTAAAGGTGTGGTATTCTAAGGAGAGGAATGGCACTTACCAAATCTCAGCTATCAATTAAAACTTTACAAATTCCTAACTTCCAGCCCTCTCGCACATAGAAAAGACACGGAGCTCTGTCTCATCTGGCAAGGGAGCTGCTGTGTGGTGGACAGAACAGAAATACCTTTCTTTCCACAGAATAAAGGGAAGCCTTTCTCTAGCTCCAAGTCATGACTCTGCTTTGCTCCAAAGACAACAATGGTAGCTGTGAAGCCATCCCAACCCAGCAGAGGTAGACAGGAAGTCATAAATCCACTTCCCCTCATTTACAAGGTTTGCTCAATGAAGAACACAAGCCTATGCTAAGGCAGTAGTTGCCTTTGGGTATCAGACAAAGAGATACTTTATAAGAGTCAAACAGACAAGTTACGTGCTGGTGCCAGAAAGAAGTTAGGGCATATCTGTTATCCAACAATCAAAGCACCCCAAAGTGTCCGTTCGGCCTGGGAAAGTCCAAAGGAATCTTATAGAAGTTACAGCATGGTACCTATCAAAAGTACCATCCGCGGACAAGATGTAGTTAGCAGAGCAAAGTGGGAGATCAATATGGAACAGAGTACACGCAAGGGCTCAGTGACAGACTGAATGTTCCTTTCCTGGGACCATGGGGTAAGTTTCAGTGAAGGGAAGAGGATGCTGGGTTTGGGCAGGAAAATGATGCAGGCATCAAATGATGGAGACCAGGAGACTCACCTGGATGTTGACAAACACGCCATGGTAAGTCTCATAGAGGACTTTGTTGCCCTTCACGTGCAGAGGAAATTCGAAGGGAATTTCTGTCTTGCCACTGGGGAACTTTCCTGGCTTCACCATTTCTATGGTGCTGTTGATAATCTGGATCGGCTGTAAACAAAAGTCAACTCAGTCCATCAGCACATACCTGTAGATGTCCCCTCAAAGGAGAGTGTGTCAACCACCACCCTGAAGACACAGCGACCTGGGCTCCTGGGTGCCACTCTTCCTGGCGTCTCCAGCAGCACAGTACTGGGTCTGTGGATGAGTGCTGAGGAGAATCATAACGTTTTCTCTTTGGTGGTACTGAGGATCAAACCCAGGGCCTCTGCATTGAGCTACATTTATTTTTCATTTTCAAACAGGGTGTCAGTAAAATCTGTTCCCTAGGTTGGGCCTGAACTTGAGATCCTCCTGTCTCAGCCTTCCAGAGTGCTGGGATTACAGGCATGGACCATCATGCCTGGTTGAGTTGGTTCCATTTTTTTCACTCTCTGCTGCAGGAAGGGTTCATTTACACACATCCCTCTCCTGCTCAGGCCTGGATCTGCAGAATGCAAAGGCAGACACAATGCTGGACAGCTGCCTGGCCCACTGACACCAGGCTCAGCTTCCTGCGGCTGTGTGAGCAAGATGGGCTTCTCCTCCAGCCCTCAGGCCACACAACCCTTCAGTGGGGCCTCCAAGGAGGAAGGCAATGCTGACACTGCACATCTGCAGTGTTGTGGATTACCTGGTGGTTAGTTTGAGTGGATCGCCCAGCTGAGCTCAGTCAGCATGGCTGTGGGCTTGGAAGCCCCACCTGAGGACTGTTGCCAATGGTATAAAGGGAGAAGGGGAGAGGAAGATCGCGTGCTGCTGATTTTCTCAGCGAAGCCCGCTGTGGCTAGTTTTCCTGCCTGTCATCTTCGGGGCTCGGGTCCTCACTGTCACTGGGGATGGCTGCCATTCTCTCTGGGGGAGCTCTGGTCTTTGCCCTGAGCGTCACTTCCTGGCTCCAGTGCAGATCCCTCAGCCTGGTGGCACAGACCCTTCACCCTACTGGCACAAACTTTCTGGCTTCCACCACTGGCCCTTGCTTGGGGCTTCCCAGTGCAGATCCTTGCTACAGACTCACAGGAGATATTGCCGCGGGCTCTAGGCTCTGGCTGGACCCGCAGGACACTGCCGTGGGATCCAGGCCCTCCGCTGGATTCTTCAGGTCTCTAGCTCGAGGACAGATTTCTTGAGCACCTCTGCATTTGACTTTTTGGGTGAGTGTTATAAAATAACCCTATAAATTATGCGTCTTGGAATCTATTCCTTTGCAAAGCCTGACTACAACAGAACTGGTCCTGAGAGTAGGGTTGCTGTGATGTTGCCTGGTGATGTGGCTTAACAGCCTCTGGAATTAATTTGGAAAGGTTTTGAGAGAGGAGCCAAAGAGGCAGCCCTGGAATGCGCTAAACTGTAAGGAGACGGGTCAGAGCCTGGAAAGCCAGAGACCTGATGGGAATGCTGCGGTTAAGGGTGAGGCTCCAGAGGATTCTGTCGAGAGGACTGTTTTGGGTGCTGGATCCCCAGTGGTGCATGCTGTGCTTTGGCAGGAAGTTGGTCTGCGTTTTGCTTGTGTGTAGAGATACTTCCTGGGTGGCAGAAAAATTTCAATGCAGTCTAGCGTTGGGACGGTGGTGTGGATGCCGTCGGGGAGTTCTGGTGGGATCTATGTTGGGAATAAGAGCAGAAAGGCAGCAGGGTGATTCGAAGCAGTGGGTTTTTTTGTTTTGTTTTGTTTTTTCTTTTTCTTCAGTTTGGCCACAGGGGAGGCTCCAGTGAAGCTGTGGATTGCAAGGATGAAGCAGAGGACAATGTGGTCATGGAGGAAAAAATGACCTGAGGCCTTTTACCATATGGGAGATCCCCTGGGGAGCATCTTTTTGTGTTGCTGCACCTGTTGTTAAAGTTAATGGGAAAGGACTATGATTTTAATTGCTCTCTCCTATTGATTTCAATACAGTAATATAATGTTGATGTATATAAAACTGGCTTTTAAGTATTGCTAAATCGTGTACATAAATGGAAACCGAAGGAGTCTTAAACTTGAAGCTACAGTTTGTAATGTGGATGCACGAAACTGGCATATTGCACTTTGTAAACAAATTGATGTTTTTTTACTTGTGGGTGTGATTTTTCTTTTTACTTGCTTTTTGGTATTTTAATGGTTGTTCAGTATTAAATATGAAGATTTTGGAATGAAGTAGTTCCGTAGTTTTAGACACTTGTTTGTAATCAGGTTATTCAGTCAAAGCTTTGTGGCTTTTAACTTTGAATTCTGAGAACCCCGCGTGGAAGTGAGCGCAGTCAGAACTGCGTACGTCATTACTAACGTACGTGTAAAACAGACCAAGACATGTCCGCCTTTTACGGACCTGCTCTCTGGTTATCAAGCTGACCAGAGTGGGCTGTGCTGCATTACCTGATGGTTAACGGAAGTGGGAACACCCAGAGCTGAGTCAGTGCGGCCGTGGGTGTGGACGACCCACCTGAGGATCCTGCAAGAACAGCATAAAACAAGAACGGGAGGGGAAGACTCAGGCTGATTTCACAGGAGAAGCTTTGCTGTGGCTGGTTTTCCTGATATGAACTCATTGTTAGAGGAGCTCAGATCCTCACTGTCACCGGGGATGGCTGCTTCTCTCCTGGGGGGGCTCTGATCTTCACCTTGAGTGTGGCTTCCTGGCTCCCGTGCAGATACCTCAGCCTGAGGCACAGACCTTTCACCCTGCTGGTGCAGGTTTTCTGGCTTCCACCACTGGCCCTTGGACCTTCGCAGGTGCAGATCCTCGATACGGACTCCCACGAGACATCGCCATGGGCTCTAGGTTTCCAGCTGGACACTGCCCTGAGATCCAGGTCCTCTGCTGGATTCTTCAGGTCTCTAGTGCGTGGAAAGATCTCTTGTGCGCTTCTGCGTTTGACTTTTTAGGTGAATATTATAAAATAACCTTCTAAATTATGTGTCCTGTAGTAAATCTATTCCCTTGAAAACCCTGACTACAATGTGGACACTCTCCCAGCCCGGGTTTATCATCACCCTGAGAAAGCTCATGGCATAGAAAGGAATCTCTAAGTACTGACGGATTAAAATAAGATGTTTTGCAAGGACATGGAATGTTCTTAAATCTGAACACTGTTAACTAATGCACTCTCCTCCCTTTTAACTCTTCCCTTTCAATTAGAGAGTTGACCCCCAGGAAAAGGAAACAGGGAGTTTACATTGTGGAACACAAAACTACCCTAAATGACACAAGAGAAAAGTGACTCGCTCCATGTGCCACACTCAAGTGCCGAATCCAACAAGAGCAATATACACAGCTAAGAAGTAAGAGTTCTGATGTAGGACAGCAAGCACCATAAGCAACTTCTCAGGAGCGCTTTCTAATGGTGGTGACTTAGTCCATTCACAGCTGTGCTACTCAAGTAGGAATAAGAACAGGCAGGAGATAATGGGAAACATTAGAAACAAGTATCTGAATGTCTTCAATTTAATTAGTACTGAAAGGACAGGAGCCACATTTCTTGGAAAATAAAAAAGGCAAGTGAAGACTCCCATCAGCACTTGAAATCCCACTGAGCACCCTTACCTTCACGGAGTTGTAGAAAGCTTCGAACACGCCCACACTCTTGGCACTCAGCTGGAGGTTCACAGTTCCCTCCATTGTCAGGGACACTCCTTGGTGCTGGACGGAGTCCTTACTGGAGATGACCACCACGCCAGAGAGCATTTCCTAGGGGCCAAGAGGCAGCTCCATCAGACCAGCACATCTCTATACCCTGGTGTCTGTGCCTTAACCAGTGCGTTCAAAGGCACATCTGGCGAGGCACCTGCATTTCGGGACCAGAAGCCCCCGCGTGGCACGACCATACCCACTGACAACACTGGGTACCAAGGAGGGCACCTGGCAGTGGGTGAGAATCTCATCCCTTTGTTTCCTCCACACACACCTGTTCCTGTTTATTCCCAAGGGCACGGAAAAGGCCTGGACACATTTACAACTGACGGAAGCCCTCGGGGAAGTGGAGCCTGCAGGAGGTCAGCGCCACACTCCACGGAGGGCAGCAGCCACTGCCCAGGGACTGTCCCCAGCCTTCTGGTTCTGGCTTGCTCACTGAACACACGCCTTTGCCCCCAGTTCACAAATCTTTCGGGGAAACCTTCACGACAGATGGTCACCTCATTTATGTGAAGATAATCACTAATAAGACGCGGACAGGGCCATGTTCTCTTAGAGGATGGCAGTGGCTTCCTGTCAACGTAGATCGTGGTTTCCTGAGTGAGGGGGCTGAGCGGAACAGGAAGTGAGGAGACTGAATATCCTCAGCCGGAGTCTGCAATGAACACAGCTGTGCCGTTCTGACATGACCTTGAAAACAGCATGACCACCCATCAAATGGTTCCATGGTGGCAGAAAGGTAACAACAAAAAGAAGGGGGAAACAACTGGCCTGCAGATCAACCGATAAAAAACACCTGTGCTACTAACGAGTAAAATGGCTTAGCTTTCATTCCATCTAGTCCACCAGTGAAATTTTTCTTTTGTTCTTAATCCACCTGGCATCTGAGGAGTCAGGAATACTCTGTGTCCCTTAACTGTTTTTAGGTTTTCCACTACCCATCCGAAAACCCTGAACCCTACCTTAAAACACACTATCATCACCATTTTAAGCAGAATTTGGACAGAACTGATTCTGTTCCTAAGAACACCAACATCTCATAAGCAGATTTAAATAAAAATTCTTCCAATTTAACTTTCAAATATACAATTCTATTAAAATAAAACAGAAATTGTAAAGTTTAAATTCACTAGTATATTTTTCAGTCAATTCACTAGTATATTCCAGAAATAAAATGAGACAAAATAATTGTTGCAAACTTTGTGAATTAAACAGGACAACAGCAACGCAGGATGGTCTGTTCCCACCAAACCCCAACATTCGCAGTTAATCACACACGGAACAACTCTCGGGTTGACCGCTGGCTGGGATGTCGCAATCGTATGACATCAGAACTCATGCCACTCTTCACCCCGGGACAAAGGAAGGAACAGGCAGCGTAGGGCTCTGGAAGCAAGCAGAGTCCGTATTTCATGACTCCAGGGACTCATTTGTCATTCTTTAATTTAATTAAGAAATAATAAAGGGGCCAGGATTTAGCGCAGTGATTCCGCCACGTGCTTCACAAGCAGAAGGTCCTGAGTTCAATTCCCCAGTACCATAATAACAACAGTAGAGAAAATATAAAATTAATATATTTATTGACACACCAGACATTCTTATACACATAGTACATGTCTATCTGATTCCTACCCACAAAAGGACGATCTAGAATTAATCCAAGTGTGGCCCACAGAACTGCGAAACAGAAGATGACAGAGTTAAGACTGCTGGAGGGGAGGAAACAGACTATTCTCAATTGTTCCTGCTCAGGAGAGCAGGGTGACCTTAATTAACTGAAATTAATGAAAACCCAATGCTGAACCAACAATCCCTACCCACAGACCTCGGTGTGGATTCTCAACAAAAATAAGCAGGATGGCTCTGGATGGCACCAAAAACTCACCCAACAGAGCGGGAAGGCTAAATTCTCAGCAGGGGACCCATAGAGGGCCCATTCGGCCTTCAGGGTGGCAGCCAACTCAGAAACGACGCAAAATGACTCAGAGAAATCAGGGAAGGTGTGTGACTGCTTAGGGAGAAGAGCAATGGTTTTGCCACCTCAAGCAGGTCCTTGACCTGAAAGGCGAGGT